TACAACGGTTCAAATCTTAATCTAACATTAATCTAATATTATTACAGGATTTGAAGAATTTTCCTGTTACACTATATATATATATATATATATATATATATATATATATATATATATATATATAATGAACTCTCCTGTCGGTTTCAATGAGGAACTGACAGCTTAATTGATTCAGTTATGAAATTTTGTGCGATAATCGTGAGTGGCATTTAAGACCCGCTAGTGATTTACAAAGGAGGCCACATATGGAGCAAGTGTGAGGATTGTCAGATGAGAACACTGTTAGATTGGCTGACTATTTAGATCTTGCTCTCGCTTCTTGAAGATGATTTAGACAAGCAGATTGAAAATTGCTGAGTTCACTAAAACACGTTGATCTCCATTCTACCCGCTTCAAGTTTAATCTCTCAAGGGTGTTATGAGATATATTGACTGCTGACAAGTTGCTTTTCAGCTTGTCTTTTTATCTTAGCCATGGGCGTCCTACATTCCTGTAGCCCTGATCGAACTGGCTGAACATTAGGATCTTGGGTATCCTGTAATCAGACATTCTCAAGACATGGCCAGTTCACCGTAACTGAGACTGTATGATAAAAGTCTCGATTCCTCCAATATTACACCTGTTAAACAGGTCTACGTTAGAAGTCCTATCTTGAAGCTTAACTCCACAGATTCCACGCAGACAGATGGGATGTCTGTTAGGTCTTGACATGATTTCTATTTGATCTTTCCACTTTTATTTTCTCACATGCTTCTCAAGTTTTTATATTGCAATATTTAGTCTTGCTTCGATTTCAGCTCTGCTGAGTGAGGGCGAACCGGTCGGCTGGTCAATTTATTTTTTTACCTATTTTCCTTTTAATCATGAATGGTATATATATATATATATATATATATATATATATATATATATATATGTGGTGGGGGGATTATGATATATATATTTTTATATTATATCACGAACAATTTTAGGGGAAGGAAGTATTATAAGGTCGAAAAAATTGTCCTCACTTCTTTCCAGAAGGCCCAAGAGTTAATACTGCTATCTATATTGAGGTCCTGGAGGCAGTTGTTAAGTCCTGGACGGCCATATGTGTTTCAGCAAGGCTTAAAATTGTCATGACACCATAACCCTTAAAATGTGGAGAGTTGCTGAGAGTGAGGTCAATGAACACACTCTTAACACCAAACATTCTTTGAAAATCCCCATAATTAATGCTCAATATAAACCAACACATTTCGGGCACGTAGTTGCTTTCGTGTTCACATCGCAATTATTGAAGCTGATGGTGGCTTTATTGAATTAAACATTAAAGATATTATATATCTGTTTTCTAGGAACAAATACGTTATGCATGATATATATATATATATATATATATATATATATATATATATATATATATATATATATATATATATATAAAAGGAAGAGTTTATAGTAGTTCCAAAGAGAGAAAAATGTGTATATTAAAAGAAGAGAGAAACCGCAAACGTTTTTGGTTATAATGCGGATTTTCTTTTAAATAAAATATTATGCTTTATTTTCCATAATTTTGCTACACGGGTTTCCGGTCTCGCGACCGTCATCAGGCAAAAGGTGGAGATTTCCACATATTATTAAAAATAATAAAAAAAATTTCTTTATGGTTTTCGATGTTAAATATTCTCGATATGAAACATTCTCTTTTTCGTTTGTTAATGACCCAAATGTATATATATATATATATATATATATATATATATATATATTCGATGCAATGAAGACGATATAAATTCTAACGTTCACAGCATTAAGACAAAAGAGGGCTCAATACTGATAATAGAGCGATAATTGGAGAACTGTTCCTAACCATTTTCTGTTCTCGCCCGACCAGGTGCAATTTAAATGCACCGAAACGAAGTTGCATCTTTGTAGTGAGTAAACTGTTTTTGTCTATATGATAAAATTATAGATAGATAGATAGATAGATAGATCATTATTCAAATATATATTGTTACATATAACATACAACGAATGTCTATTATGTTTGATCAGGAGCCGTTCTAAACTTCGTATTGTTATGTTGACATAGAAGATTGCATAATATTAGACAGATATAATTGATCATACAACAATACTCATACATACACATTGTAAAGAGCACCTCAGTTATTAGAGGCGATCGACATTTAAATCAAAGCAACCCAAACTCAACAAAATTCTATTTCAAACTAGTCACAACACATTACATTGCATCTAGACATGGTTCTGTTGTTAATATTTCGGCATCTCATGTGGTATGACGTCATAGAATCGCGTCAAGAATTTACGACCTGCGTCTGCCATTCTGCAACCGTTATCATCGGATAACAATATCAACAGAATATCATCTTTGATGATGAATATCTTTGTTTAAATATCCATGTAACCACTCTGAACCGAAAGCTTAGATCAAGGAACAGCGGTTTCAACGCGATTTTATGGGACCTGAAAATGACAGCATGCTCTGTTAATGCATCAGTCAATTTTGCTTTCTCTAGTGAATGACAAAGCAAGAGATATAGTGATTTTCCAAGCATAGCTTAGATGTGGCACAAGGCTGAAATTAAGGGGATCACCCAGTGAGAATCGAACTCATTACTCAGTCGTAATTGTTCTAGCGACACCACCTCGAGGTGGCCACGAATCAAGAGACAAAGATGGTAAGATAAAGTACACGACGGTGGGCTGAAAAGTTCTTAGACTAACTACGAAGGAGTGATGCTAGAGCCGTGAAATCTTGCATGCATTCATTTCAACTTTTCTTATTAATAACTGCATTGTTTCTTTCAAGGTACGTGGGTGGGCTGAAAGGTTTATAGGCTGACTATGAAGGTGTGATGCTAGAACTGTGAAATCTTGCATGCATTCATTTCAACTCTTCTTATTAATAACTGCATTGTTTCTTTCCAGGTACGACGGTGGGCTGAAAAGTTCATAGGCTGACTATGAAGGAGTAATGCTAGAACTGAGAAACCTTGCATGCATTCATTTCAACTCTTCTTATTAATAACTGCACTGTTTTTTTTTTGTTTTTTGTCTGACTGTACAAAGCAGATTTTAAATGTCATTAGCAGCGACTTCTCTTGAAATTGGACCGAATTTAGCATCGCTGTGTTATCAAGTACGGGTTTAACCCCGAAAGACATTCATCAAAAGTAAATAAGTATATTTATATTTAACAAATAAATGGAACGTCTACACAAATACGAGTATCCACAAAAATAACGTTTAATGCGATAAAATCTATCGGATTAATAAATAAGAATCCATTACTGCTTTAGATAACTTGCTAGAGAGAGTTGGCGAGCTAACTGGCTGATGAGGTGTTTGTGGATATATGCGTGTGTATATATCCATTTCTATATCTGTAGATCTATGTTACCTGTGTGAATATAAGAAAATATCTGTTACCTGTATGAATATAAGGAAAGATCTATGTTACTTGTGAGAATATAAAAAACATCTATGTTACCTGTGTAAATATAAGGAAAGATCTATGTTACCTGTGAGAATATAAAAAAGATCTATGTTACCTGTGTGAATATAAGGAAAGATCTATGTTACCTGTGGGAATATAAAAAAGATCTATGTTACCTGTGTGATAATAAGGAAAGATCTATGTTACCTGTGAGAATATAAAAAACATCTATATTACCTGTGTGAATATAAGAGGATTTGAATCGTGAGTTGAACATGCTAACTCTGGAAATTTGGTGATTTTTAAGCGTAGTTTAGATGTGGGACAAAGTCGAAATTATTTGGGCACCCAGTGAGGACCGAATTCACTACTCATTAGTAACTGTTCTAGCGAAACAAGCATGCTAACCGTTACGCCACTTCTTCAGTACCCTTAGTGATCTTAGTATCCCGATAGTATGGGGCCCCAATAAGGTTCGAACTTACTACTTAGTGGTAACTGATCTAGCTAGCTAAATAAGCTTTCTAACCATTACCCTTCGTGCATTTTACGGTAAATTGGTTCTCACAAGTTACCTGTATCTTTTTTTGTGCGTGAATAAGCGTGTATGTTTTTTTTATGCGCATGCGTGCTTTTGCGCATGTCTGTTTTGCGCAATCGCGTTTTGCGCATGCGCGTATGAGAATTCCGTGGAATGAAAAATCCTTGAATTCAGTTATTTTTCTTATTTTCTGTTTCGTGCATATGTTTTTAGACATTTTTGTTTTTCTTTTGGCCTTTTTAACTTCACTGAAGATCTTTTAAAACACTGTTTATAGTATCTCTTTCATAAAAAAAGAATTTTATTTTGTTTTTTTTGCCACTGAGGATGTTTTTCAGCGTTGTTTCATATTATTTTGTTTTACATATATATCCTTTTTATTATTTTCGCCATTTTTTCTGCCTCTTCATATTCAATCTAATTTTGTCTACGATTTCTTTTGCAAGGTCTCACCAAATTCTTCCTTCTCGAAATGATTGGATGCTTTCCGAAGAATGTAAATCCAGTGTTTTCCACAAAGTAGTCAATATGGCATGAAGTGGAAAGACCTATGGAAAAAGAAGACAGATGCGGGGGGGAGGTAATGAAAGAAAGAAATAAAGATGTCGGACTTTCGACTGAAAAAGAAATGCAACTCGAAAGAAAAAAAGCAAATCGTCCAGACACAAAGAATTAAAAAGCATGTGAATAAAAACGGCAAATGGAAATAGAGATTGGAAACTGAAAGGAAAAAAATCAATTTGGGGCGGGGGTGGGGAGGATATGAAGAAAGAAAGAAAGAAAGAAAGAAAGAAAGAAAGAAAGAAAGAAAGAAAAGGTTAAGACAGACATGAACAGATAGATAGATAGATAGATAGATAGATAGATAGATAGATAGATAAAAAAGATAGTAAGACAGAATAAATAGAAAGAAAGAAAGGTAGGAAGAAAGGTAGGAAGAAAGGTAGGAAGAAAGGTAGAAAGAAAGAAAGAAAAAAAGAAAGAAAGAAAGAAAAATGAAAGGTTAAGATAGACATAAACAGATAAATATATAAAGAATGAAACGCAAAATAAGACAGAATCAATGGAAATAAAGAATTAATGAATGAAGGAAGGAAGGAAGGAAGGATAGAAAGAAAGAAAGAAAGAAAGAAAGAAAGAAAGAAAGAAAGAAAGAAAGAAAGAAAGGAGAAAAGAAAGAAAGAATGAAAGCAGACAGGAAAAAGAATGAAAGGAAAGAAAAAAAGAAGAAAGAAAGAAAATAATGAATAAAACCCAAAATAAAACAGAATTAATAAATTAAGAATAAAAATTAAGAAAATACAGAATAAAGAAAGAAGTAAAAAAAATGAATAAATAAAGGAGGAAAGACAAAAAAGAAAGAAAATAAGAAACTAATGAAACGCAAATTAAGACACGGAATCAGTAATCGTCAATGTAAAGAAAGAAAGAAAGAAAGAAAGAAAGAAAGAAGGAAGGAAGCATGAAAAAGATAGATAGATAGATAGATAGATAGATAGATAGATAGATAGATAGATAGATAGGAAAAAGAAAGAAAGAAAAGGAGGAATAAATGAGGAAAAATAAGAAAGAAAGAAAGAAAGAAAGAAAGAAAGAAAGAAAGAAAGAAAGAAAGAAAGAAAGAGCGAAAGCAGCATAAAAAAAGATAGAAAGAAAGAAAGAAAGAAAGAAAGAAAGAAAGAAAGAAAGAAAGAAAGAAGAAAGAAAGAAAGAAAGGAAGGGAGGAATAAATGAGGCAAGAAATAAAGAAAAAAAGAAAGAACGAAAGCAGCATAAAAAATAGATAGATAGATAGAAAGATAGAAGAAAGAAAGAAAGAAAGAAAGAAAGAATGGGAGGAATAAATGAGGAAAAATAAGAAAGAAAGAAAGAAAGAAAGAAAGAGCGAAAGCAGCATAAAAAAGATAGATAGATAGATAGATAGATAGATAGATAGATAGATAGATAGATAGATAGAAGAAAGAAAGGAGAAGAAAGAAAGAAAGAAAGAAAGAAAGAAAGAAAAAACAAGAAAGAAAAGAAAGAAAGGGAGGAATAAATGAGTAAAAAATAAGAAAGAAAGAAAGAAAGAAAGAAAGAAAGAAAAAAGAAAGAGCGAAAGCAGCATAAAAAAAGATAGATAGATAGATAGAAGAAAGAAAGAAAGAAAGAAAGAAAGAAAGAAAGAAAGAAAGAAAGAAAGAAAGGGAGGAATAAATGAGGCGAGAAAGAAAGAAAGAAAAAAAGAAAGAAAGAACGAAAGCAGCATAAAAAATAGATAGATAGATAGAAGAAAGAAAGAAAGAAAGAAAGAAAGAAAGAAAGAAAGAAATGAGGAAAATAAGAAAGAAATAAAGAAAGAAAGAAAGAAAGAAAGAAAAAGAAAGAAAGAAAGAAAGGGAGGAATAAATTAGGAAAATAACAAAGAAAGAAAGAAAGAAAGAAATGGAGGAATAAATGAGGAAAAATAAGAAAGAAAGAAAAAAAGAAAGAAAGAAAGAAAGGGAGGAATAAATGAGGAAAAATAGGAAAGAAAGAAAGAAAGAAAGAAAGAAAATACAGAATAAAACCCCAAATAAGTCAGAATCAAAAATAGTCAATGGAAAGACAGAAAGAAAGAAAGCCAGAATGAATGAATGAAGAGGAAAGAGAAAGAAATCAATAATAGCGAATAGAAAAAGAAAGGAATGCATTCGAGACGGGCGTTGTTTTTGCCCATCATCAAAATATAATGCGTGTTTTGCAGATGCTTGCCTGACTATTGTATAGTATTGGCCACATGCTGTAGAGCGATTGTTATCGCGTACATCCAGACGAGTTTGATTTTTATGTAGCGCTCCAATAAATTGGCCTTGTACCAGAATATTACTTACTAATTGCATAACGGTTTTGCCTGGTATGAAACAAGAAATAAATATCATATCTCCTCCTCCAACACACACACACACACACACTCACATATACACAAACACACACAGAAACACACATACACACACACTCACACACACACAGACTCATACACAAACACGCACACACACACACATACACAAACACACACACAAACACATGCACATACACACAGACTCGCACACACACTCACACGCACACACACATATATACATAGAGATAAAGAGAAAGAGAGAGAGGCAGCAATCCCTCTTTTATATAAGTTTAATTAAAAATGACTGACAAGGTGCTGCGGTTAAAGATTTTATTTCATTTTTGTGTTCTTCTAAATTCTTCTTTTCTAGAGGTAAATTATGTAAAACTTTTAAAAATGTTTTGATTGTCCGCGCTTTTTCGGCAATTCTTTTAGCCATTATCAAGGATGAATTTTATTTTTTACATTTAACTGAATCTAGGAATTGTTTTATATATGTATCTAGGGTTATAGGAATGCTTTAAATTCCAAACACGGTCAGCATACTGTGGCCGTGTTCATAATTGAGTGTTGGCTTTATCTTTTTTTTTATCCTTAATAATGCTTCCATTATATTTAGCCTTTCAATGAGGCTATTATATAGGGCCTTCCAATTACATGGACCGATTTTAAATGACAATTAATTTTTAAACGGCATATAATTTTTTTCTTTTTCTTTCAGATTAAACAACTTTGCCAATTTCGACCACGGAAAGATTAACAATCAAACAACGTGTTAAAGTTATCGAAGCCTATTACGAAAATGCACGTTCAAATTTATAAATATATGCCCCAATGATTCCGCTAGCGAAAAAATGACCACCAAACAGTGACCTTTTATGGATGCAGTGGCTTTTCAATAATCTTCCTTGGATTTTCATCAGCCCAAATGTGATTAGAGGGGTCTGGATTTTCGGCCACATTCTCGTGCACTGCAGCAAGGTTTTCAGCTGAACGGCGTAAACGAGCACGTAATTGTGTTTTCACATCTGCCACCGACCCAGTTTGTTTGAATTAAACGAACAATTTTTCCAATTGCACTCTAGGTTGGTCGAGTATGTTGATCAAAAAATCCCAAAGTGCGCGAAATGCCTTTCTGTTTGAACGTCCAATTTTCCTAATAGGCTTCCATAACTTTAACACTTTTTAACTTTAAAAATCATTAGACGCTTAAACTCAATTCAAATTTAAAATCAGTCCAAGTTATTGGAACACCATTTATTTTAAAATAGTTTCCTGACGTTTCCTAACTTAATGCATCTAGGGAAATAGGAATATCAAAGGTTGTAGTTTGCATAATATTATGGCATCAAAACATTAACTCCAGTTGTAAATCAAAGAATAATATTATTTGGATAAATATTTTATTTGAATAAACTCATTTATTTACAAAACAAAAAATGCACGTACCATCAACTCTATCTTCTATGGTTTCAATGGAATCCATGTGACAAGTGCAGGGCTGCCAAATTGTCAACCTTTGGCTTGAAAACCGTCAGATAGAGACGTATTTTGCTTCTTTTTTCGACGTCAAAGCGATTTCGCGTCTTTGACAGCAGATGCATCATCCGACTGAAACCAGACTCAACCAGATAAGATGGGGGAAAAGGGAATATGAGCAACTTCAAATATTTCTAGAGTAATGTTGATGAGGCTATTTGTATTATCAAATTGTTGCGGATAGGGTTTGGTAAGTCTCCATGTGTATTTAAATAAGACCTTATTGAGCTATGGTCAAAGAGATATAACGTGAGTCTTCTTGATAGGCATGTTGTAGTATAACCAATATAATTATTCGTGGATCTGAATTGACCAGGAATACAGTTCCTTAAGGGACATTATGTGAATTCGAAAATAGTATTGATTGTCTGTAATCTAGATCCTGCAGGTGGTTTTCAATGAAACTAAGACGCAAGGTGTGACTGGGGAGGTGAAGTGAATGAGAAGATTTAGAGAGGAGAAAGGACAATAAAAGAACAGGTTTAAGGAAGACAGAAGATGGCGATAATGCCACTAAGACGCAATGGGTTACTGGTAGTGAAAGAGAATGAGAAGACTTTAGTGAGGAGAAAGGACAATAAGAGAACAGGTTTAAGGAAGACAGAAGATGGCGATAATGCCACTAAGAGACAAGAGGTTACTGGGAGTGAAAGAGAATGAGAAGACTTTAGTGAGGAGAAAGGACAATGAAAGAACACGTTTAAAGAAGGCAGAAGGTGGCGATAATGCCACTAAGAGGCAAGGGGTCACTGGGAGTGAAAGAGAATGAGAAGACTTTAGTGAGGAGAAAGGACAATAAAAGAACAGGTTTCAGGAAGACAGAATATGGCGATAATGCCACTAAGAGGCAAGGGGTCACTGGGAGTAAAAGAGAATGAGAAGACTTTAGTGAGGAGAAAGGACAATAAAAGAACAAATTTCAGGAAGACAGAAGATGACGATAATGCCACTAAGAGGCAAGGGGTTACTGGGAGTGAAAGAGAATGAGAAAACTTTAGTGAAGAGAAAGGACAATAAAAGAACCGGTTTAAGGAAGACAGAAGATGGTGAGTGATGTTGCATTTAAAACTTTGATGATTGTATGTGGCCGGGAAGAAAGAAATCACTAGAATTCCACTGGCAAGATGTGCGAGAAAAGAAATTATTAGTATAAAACATTCGGTTCCTTGCAGCTAGGTCAACAGTAAAATGGTGAGACCTAATTGCCAATCTAGTTGTACGTTCAAATAAATGCACTCGAGACACCCAGGAGGAGAGCTCATCAGAACATTTGCCACGAACATATTTGTAGAAAAGACAGCGGGAAACGTTGGCGAGAAAGTGACTGAAGCCGAGATGCCAGGTCAGGAGCGATTACATTACAGATCCTTCTTTGAACTTTGTCAAGAATCTCGAGATATATATAATAGGAACACCCGACCAAATATGGCAGCAGTATTCTCTGCACGGACGAATGACAGAGCTATAAATGCGCAAGATGGATTCTGACAAGAAAAACTGTCTTGGACGACACACTGAACCAACATTCCTGGGAATAAGGTTAGCAATTGATTCAAAATAATCACATCATTTCATGACAGTGAAAAACACGATAGATAGATAGATAGATAGATAGAT